TTTCATAAATCCAGGCCTCTATAAGCATTAGAGGTTTTGAGGCCAAGCCTTTTTTCAGGAGGCCCCCCCAGGACGGTTGGACAACAAAGAGGGTACCTGTCACAATAGAGGGTAACATTCTCTGACGGACTAGGGCTTTTGGAAAGTGTTCAAGGCTAGTAATTGAGCTTAAGTGGCTCTGTGGATTTGGAGCCTTAAGATTTTATAAGTCCAGGCCTCCAAGCATTAGAGCCCAAAAAAGCGTTACTGAGAGCTCTTGGCTGTTCAGGGCTTGTAAGTAAATAGTAAGGTTTTAGGAATCAGGTACCCTTAAGCTAATCTCTGGGCTGTACAAGGCTTCAAAGCAAATAGTAAGGTTCTAGGAATTAGGGCCCCTTAAGCTCTGACTTATATGATGAAGAATAATTACTATTCAACACGTTTTTTTTTTTTTAAAAAAAAATAATAATCTTTTTAAACCTAAGAATTATTACTTTGGCACCCAATACTTGCCTTAAAAGAGGGGTCCCTAAAACATATCCCAGATCCTGAATANNCGAAAACTTGACATTAAAGAGGGTGCCTGAGCATAAGAGGGTCCAACATTTGAGCCCCGTACTAGTAGTGGATTAAATGATTCTGAGAAGTCTTCAGAAAAGCCGAATCCATCTTCGAATGCGGCCGATGAAGCAGTCATACGCTGCATGCAATCTATAGCTTTGCTTTTCACAGTCGCGTGTGTTTTCAGGCAGGAGCAGTATGACCAAGGACCCTTTAGTGGCTCAGTCTTCATCTAGCAGGTTCTCCCGGGCTGCTTAGAATGGCACGTGGCAAGCGCACGGCTCAAGCCTTTGGAGCTGGACGGAGCCTTGCTGCTGAGTTCTTCGCCGAAGTGACAAGAGCAGTGTTCATCAAAGCTGGTTTTGGCTGGTACATGCTGGTACACAGGAGTACCTGATCTGCTGGCGCTGCAAAGCTAGGCCTCTGTCTCCACCAACTTCAGCCGGGCTCCTCCCGGCCCCGTGGATCCGGGCAAACGGCAGTTCAGTGCCTTGGCTACATTTCCAATACCTCGGCTCCGGCTCTTTCCATCGCGGGTCGTTGTTGTCTTCATGCAGATCATGCTCGAGCGAGGCCTTGGCATCACTGTTGATGAGCGAAGCCAAGTCCAAGCCTTGTTCTTAGCCAATTGCGTGCAGACTTCGAAGCACAGCCCCCAAGCAGCAACGAAAAAATGAGTCTCTCACGCACACTGCAAGTTAGGTGAAATGGAGCACTCCCTCGATCTTGCAAAAGTCATAATGGCTAGTGTTTCAAGGTACTGCACTTCATAGGAGTCAGCATGTAGTTTCAGCAATGCCCATGCGGAAGCATTCGTCGCCTGTCTTTTGAGGCAGCAGCTTGTTGTTGCGCGTAGCATTATCGAATGCAACGACTGAACGCCCACGGGGAAATGCTGGGTTTCACGGGTCAGGAAGTTTGGCTGCGGCATGTGATTTGCATGGTCGAATTCTTGGTAGGATGCAAGCAGCCATGCAACATCTGGATTCGGCGGAGTTCCCCGCTTCAAGCCGCAAAGACGTGTCCGTGCATGTGACGACCTTTGCTACATATTCTGGGCTCAATGCAGGGCCTTGAGCAAGCCGATGAGATGACCTGCTAAGTGGCCAATCCGTTTAGAAGCACTACATCCATAGCCAACCACACACGCGAAAACACGCCTAGATACTGATGTAGACCTAGGCTCTAGCTGACTTTAGCTGACTCTAGCAGCAGAACTCAGATCTCAGAAAAGAGTAGCGCCCGCGCCCCATATGCCCTCTGGCAGTCTTTATACTATACCAACGTTTTTAGCCGGTATCTGAAGACGAGCGCCCTCTTGCGCAGCCCTATACACAGTGTGCCAGCACCTACCATGGAGGCCAACGCTGCGTCCCAGCGTTGTTGACGACTGCTGCTGCTGCTGCTGCTGCTGCTACTGCTGCAGCTTTTATGCTGCTTCTTCCGTTTTCCCGGCTACAGCTGCACTAATGTCTTCTTGCATGTCTACGCCCACGTCTACTTCTATTTGTTCGCGGCAGTTCAGAATGCGGGGCTTGTGCACTATTGTTTCGCACGATAAGCAACCAGACTACCTGTAGAAGCAGCAGCAGTGAGCATACCCACGGGGTTAGCCTGTATTGTCCCTTGACAATGCCATACTCAAAACCCTGCAGCCGGCAACCGGCCGACAGAAGGAGGGCATTCTAGCTAGGCAGCCCATGTATCTCCACAATGAACCCTCGTGTTTTGGGCTGATCCTACAAGACCTGAAGAATGGCAAGCACGAGAAACAGTATAACTAACACGAAGATGGCGGCGCCCACGACAATGAATGCTTTCACGTCATGATGGGCAGTATGGCTAGCAGCCTTGCAAACACAGTATGAGATATGGTGAGGGGGTATGATGCATGCACCTGTTGATTTGGTGCAGTAGAGTCGGTAGAGTGCTGCTCACTCCTGGCATTTGCCAAAACAGTGGTCTACATCTGTTGCATGGAGACTCCAAATTTGACTCATTCCCAGCTGATGATGTCAAGGCTGATCTTCGGGGTGGGTCTCGGATTTGATTAGCATGTCATTAAACTTGGGGTTATGATATGTCTGGGAATTTTAGTCGGACAAGTGTGTAGGTTCTCACAGGGCGCATAGGTTCTTATTGAGTAGACTACCAAGGAATGGTGGGACTTTTGTTCTAGACGCCAATCTCGAATGGCAAGTTGAGGGCTGGTCTTCAAGTTTGGCGAAAGTTGTCCCCCGATATTGAACACCCACCATCCTCCAATATCAAGTCCCCTGCCTCCGTTGGGGAACATATTTAATATGCGGGGGTGATAACGGGTAAGCCCCCAAACCCTGGACAAGAGCCACGAACCCCAAAACAAGAATCCGCTAAAAGGGTTCCTAGCGCAACGCCTCGAAACTCGACGTCCCAACCTTTGAAGTGTTCAACCCCTAGACCACTTACAGAATGCCGGCCTCCGTTATGACACCCAGCTTCACCTTGAACGCTGAAACCCTTTCTTTTTTTTAAGGGTTTAGGGTTTAGGCACCCTTTCTTTTTTTTCAGCTGCGGTCTTGGCAGGCAGCTCGGCGCTTGAAGGCCTCCAAGGCCTACAAAACATTCCAACGGTTGTATATGGGGATGACTATTTGTATTATGAGTAGTACTACTAGTATGACTACTATTACTATGGGGATAAGCTGGGCTTCACAAGGCCTGTAAATTTTGTTCATGCAAGACATGTACTTCGACGTGCGTTCAGATTGGAATTTTCTACCATTCTGGAAATGGTAGTGTAAAAGGCAGCGGTATGGTGGGCACCGGTGTGGTATTGGTCCTTTCACGAGCCGGCCCCATAATCAGCGTGTACGCCATTTTTGTGCATTCGTATTGGAACGTCAGTTTGTGATTCTTGTTCTGGAGCCGCTTGAAGCTATTGAACAGCTCGTTCCCGAGTAATTGAAAGCATATTGCACAGATACACGCAGATACACCAAGAAGATTGCTCTTCGGGGTGAAGCAGCAACAAAGGGAATAAGTAGAATTGAAAGAGTTTCAGATTGAAAGGTTTGGGATGTTGGGTCCTGAGTCTGAAGCAGGATGTATAAGGGAAGCTGGGGACGGATTCTGTGGCAACTGCCGCTCCAAAGCCCCAGGGATGGGCTTCACATTAATTGGGGATGAATCCTTTGCGCTTCGAGAGGCGCACGTGGTCGCCGCGCTGGTCGCCTTGCTTGCGCCCTTGGGCTTTCAAGAGTTTTTGGGGATGACTTGCTCATGTGCCAATCAAAATTCAAGTCCCGACCCTTTTTGTCGGACCTGCCCCCGAAAATGGGCATACTCCTGTACAGCCGTACAGTCACTCTCTCGGTCGGAGGTTCTTTTCCTCAGCACGGTCTGCAGGGACCCTTGCAGGAAGTCCGGAAGAGCTTAATTGGAGAATGACCAATATTATGGTCCTAAGATTTCTGTATAATTGTGGTATAGGTACCTTACATAAACCTCAAGATGATACAGGTCATTATTCAGGCCGCTTTAGGCGCATAGATTAGGCTATCAGCTATTCAACCTCAACGCCCTACATGATGCTGGATGATTCAAGTGGCTTTGCCCAAATCATCAGATGTCTTGGCAGCCTGGCCTTAGCCTGGCCCGAAGCGGAAGTACAGTACAACTGGTGTGACGGGTGAAGTGTGTGCTAAGGCCTCACCCGCCAATCTTCATTGATGGGCTATACTTTGAGCGCGCGAGGGTCATTCGTATGGTGTATGGGGAGCTTGACACACACACACACACACACACCCACCCACCCACCCACCCACCCACCCACCCACCCACCCACCCACCCACCCACCCACCCACCCACCCACCCACCCACCCACCCACACACACGCATGGCTGTGATCACGTCTGCTCTCATTTGCAGGGCCGTCCCATCCCCTGTTTGGGCCTTTACTAGGCGTAGTATAGGTTTTGGGGGAGCAGAGCATAAAGGATAGCATGGTTCTTGGCGCTCAGACTTTTTTTGGGAGTTGCAAGAACTTGCCACAAGCGGAGCTCCTTTGCCTGGCAAACCCCTGACACTCCCCAGGTTGACCTTTCAATCTGTGACATTCGTCACTTTGTGCCGACCTCAGGGCTAGGATGTCACTGAGGGTCCACGATTGAAATTCAGAGTTTCACCCTTGGGGGTTGCCACCTTGAAGTTTTTTGAATGCGTTTGCATTGTCAGAGCAAGTATTCTAGGGCAAGTTAATATGGAGCAGGTTATGGAGGCCTTGGCCCGCCTTTCCAGAAAACCTTTGGGAAGCAAATCTGGGTCAAGCGCCTGCAAGCTGGGCACGACTTTTCGTTACAGGATGACTGGCAGAAAGCCGATTGCCCATAAACCCTTAAGACCCTCAAGAACATCTGTTATCAGCTAGAAGATGCCTCAAGATTCCCTCCCCCAAAGAAAGCGTTTATGACCGACATTCATGGGGTGCTGCGCATCGGCTGCGAACCAGGAGGGTGCGGCCGTGACGGGCAAGTTTGCCGCAGATGCCGTAATTTACGCGCGAGATGACCACGCTAGCACATTTCAGCAAATGAGGTTGGCGCGTGATTTGCACAAAGCCACGGGGGGGACATTGTGGCTGGAGTTCATCTATGAGGAGAGCCTTGAGGAGGTACGCAAAGCATTTGCTACACAGAGCAAGGAGGATGATGCTGAAGCACTTGCTGCCGTGCTGAAATCGCTCGAACACAATGGATGGTCTGTAGAATTCAACACATCCATGGTGAATTTGCTGACGGTCGCATGGAAGCATTCCATAAATGTCCACGCTTTGGACGATCCGGAGTGGTCCAAGGATTCAAGGGATGAAGCAAAATTACATACCCTCTTTGGCGTGCAATCCCCCCAGTTGTACGTCCTCTATTTGCCCTTCCGCCTCCTCTTCCCGTCCTGTCTGTGTGGTAGCAACCGGGTGCTCGAGAGTCTGGTAGGATCCGGCAGATCCAGATAAAAATGCACAAGGCCATGCATGCTCGGAGTTAAGGGGTCCCTGAGAGGATGCGTTCGTTGCTCGGTACGGTAGCAATCTTGGCGGGCTGCGCTATTTGGCTCCCTGGCAGCAAGACTGTTCATCAGAATCAAGCCCCAGGTTCTAACCCCGGACCCATGCGGCTCCAACACCCTGATGTAGGGCTCCCAATGCAAATGCTGGAGCGTGGCTTTGCCATCTTCTCCTGTGTTTCTGCCCCAGTTGTGAGCTAAAACGGGACTTTCCGTTGTGTTCCGTCTGGGAATTCAACACAGTATTCCAGCTAATGTTCCAAAGCCTGCGCCCAACGTGTTCCAAGTGAATGTCACACCTTGCAGCAGGTGTCCAACGCCAGACTTCCAGAATTCGTTTGAACGAGCTTAGGCGATTGACGATAGGAGGGCCCGAATCTTTGAGGGTTTGCTGTAATCTTGAGGTCAAAAATGAGTTTACGCCAACGCACTTTTCCCGGATTACCCTTCATAGAATTTCGGGCACAGCAATGGGACCCTGCATTTCGCATTCAGACGCAGCCACATAGGCTAACCGCGCATCACAGCTGGATGATCACGAGGGCGCAACCTCGCGATGGTGCGACAAGATTCTCAGCACGAGGCGCGGTGTCGCGAAACCTGGGCCTGTTGGTAAAGATACAGAGAACCAGACCCTGGCTTTGGTCTTCGGCGGGTACTCAGTCCTTTGGTTTTCAAACTTCAGAACAGGCAGATGTGCAAGTGCGCGCAGGGTCAACAGGCTGCGACAGTTGCAAGGCAGAGATGCGGATGTTAAGTTGTTGGGTTGCTGAAAATTCGTATGGTTTTCTCAGACCTCATGGTTGGTGCCCCAGCAGGAAGAAAACCCATCAAGCACTGGCCTCCGCATAGGGGTGTGCAAAACAGATTCCATCATTTTCTTGAGTTGAATGGCTCTTTTAAGCCCAAATCGAGGGTGAGCTGCTCTCGATTGCACCTAGAGTGCGCCAGGCCGAAGCAATCTGGCCCCATCGTCGTTTTAGGCGGTGCTGAACACGGGCCTCCTCTCATTGAGTTCATGAAAGCTCGAGTTAATGTGGATGTGGCCGGGTAGTTGCAGTACATTTTCTGTTTTTTCGTTGCTGCCCCCGCCGATTTCTAGTTCCAAGACACATTTGTACCGTGCGGTGGCTGCTTGCTTGCTCCTCTGGGCAGAGGTTGTCTACATGTATGCTGAGTTCGAAGAGGCAGACGGTGAGGCGGGACGTTGACGAGACATCTTTTCCTAGTATGATCCCCATGGAATCCCTGGAAAGAACCCCTCATGTTGAGAATGTCCATGTCAAAGAGTGTTGATGACTTGAGTGTCGACATGAGGTTGTGGAGGCTTTACCATCATGAAGTTCACGTGGTGTCTGCGTGCGAAGGCATCCTGCAGAAGCGCGCAAAGGCGTGCGCAGGAAGGTTCTTCCTGCTCCATGCGCTAGTCCAGTCCTTTCTCAAGTTTCTGATCCTTACTGGATTATGTGTTGCTCTTTATAGCATTGAGTCTGTGACCCAAGCTTTCGTAGAGCGAGTCCTTTGTTCTCGCTATTGCTCAGTTTCACCCACGCTCCGTACTGATATCAATCAGCAGAAAGTTCGCCCTGCTTGCTTTGTGTTTGTGAGGTTGATCACGGTAAATCCCCTTGGGAGTTTTAAAGTACGCCCTCATCGCAAATGCTTACTCCAGCTGAAGGGTTGACGTCAGTGTGGGCTACTGCACGCCAGCCGGACCGGCCCTTGGATGAAACCTTAAATCGTAGTTTCCATTTTATTTTCCATCATCCCCATATGAACCTAATGTACTATAGTAGTTCCAGTTATTTTCCATTATCCCAAAATAACCCCAACGTACTACAGTAGTTCCATTCATTTTCCATTATCCTGGAAGTATCCTTATAGAACCCCAATATATACCCTATACTCTCTATGTATTCCCCTATAATCCCCAATATATACCCTATATTACCAAGTTAATCCCCTATAATTGCAGAAAGCAAGGTCGTGAGGCGTCAGACTTTGAATACTGGGATAGTGGAAAAGAAAATGGACACTACAGGGTTATATAGGGGTTATACAGTGGTTATACAGGGGTTATTTAGGGGTTATGTAGGGGTTAGAGTAGAATATGGAGGGGGTTGATCGGGAAAATGGAAAAGAACATGGAAACTACTAGATTTTTTTATCGTGGTTATATTGGTAATATTGGGATGATGGAAAAGACTATGGAAACTACCATATCATACATGGGTTATATTGGGGTAGAACTGGGATGATGAAAAAGCACATGGAAACTATTATCACCTGCATGTAATTAGCCCCCCCCCCCACCCACCCACACCAAAAGAAAAATAAGGTCGAATTCACGCAAGACCTGTTGCTCTACAGAACTTGTGGTCAAAACCCTGCAGGGAAGGCCTAAGGGGTATGATATTGAAGGGGTCATGGAGCGTTGTAGCCGTGGAATGGATGCTTGACATCTTGTTTCTGAATGTTTCCAATCTATGGTGCTAAGTAGCAGCAGGAGTGTAGCAAAGGCCAAAAAGCTACAAACGGACAGCTGAAGCTATAGTCCCCCTTAAGTAGATAGAATATGGCTCTGGGCTATTATAATAAGATCCCCATATACCCAAGATTCTATCTACTTAAGGGGGGACTATAAACTTGCTGTCCTGCAGGCTATAGGTGGCCAGTTTATGAGGATTCCATTCGGAGAATTTAACCGCTATAGAGAATGAGAGTACGAAGCTTAGGTTTTCTTGAGCCCCCCACGAAAGATCAGGACAGCAGAAGACCGAACATTAGAAGCTTCGGCTTTCCGGAGAACATTCTCACCTCTTGCTCATTCAACCCGTATCCTTCCCAGACTTCAAAGTTTGAGGCTTTGCCACGAAGTGCCACCCCTCAGCAATCATCGAAGGGCCAATGTGGAAATTATTGCTCCTAGCTGGGAGACCATAGACCAACATGAGGGGTCCTAGTCTTGACAGCCCCACTTTTTACCTCGAGTCTGAGGCATTGCGGTATAGACGGTCGACCGCACAGCTGTTGATTGTAGCAGAGAGCCCAGGCAGTGGCACAATTAAATCAATCACGCCCCTGAGCCCCGCAGTCAACGTAGGGCGCCCAAATTTTGATCTCGATTTGCTTGGACAAAACTTCTTTTTGAGATCCACACGAGCATTTCCAAATGTGGGGGCCCTGAACCCTACAATCCTCAAACTGGACCCAGTTTCCGGCCGCAACCGCAACCCCGCGGCAACCTGGTGGCTATGCAAGGCGCACGTGGGGGCTTTGGGTTGAGGGCTTCAGCTGGTTGTGGCATTTTGGGGTCTGCTTTGCTGCAGAATGCCAACATCGTCCGACACTTTGACATTTGCGACTCTTGCGAATGCTTGCGGTCACAAATGCATGAACTCAACCAGTTCATGTCCACAAATTGAATCTTTCACTCCCTACAGTTAAAGCGAGAGTGGAACAGTTGAGGGCGCAACACTTCACACACATGGCCCCCCAACGTCGAATAAAGCCTCGCAAGAGCAGAAGGAAGCAAAAAGTGAAAGTGATTTGTATGGGACTGACTTTAGAGAATGGCATGCGCTGTGTGAATGTTCAGCTAGCAGCTAGAAAGCGGATTCAGAATGCGAAGTGACATGAATTAGCAAGTGGGGATTCACAGTCACCCTTTCCTTCCCCTCTTCACTTCATTCTATTTACATTCTCCTTTTGCTGCTGTGTAGCCCTTCCTTCACTCACTTCGCGAATGTTTGGTAGTCATTAACCTTAATCTGTGAAGTGAGGAGGTGAAACACCTCATTGCATTTCTGGCGTTGCTGCAGGATAGATACTTGGACACTGACCTTTCATGGTTGTCCGCGTCAGCACTTTTTTCTCACGCTATGACGCATTGCAACTTGCTTTGGTGCGTGATTGAGGACTTGGACGTGAAAGGTCCTGTGCTTGAGTTTCAGGACGCGTAGAGCAAACGACATCTTGCTTAATTTTGCTTGTGTTCAGAAGCATGACAACCACTGCAAGCCATGTCAGTGTGTTCGAGGCTCAGCACCATCTGCTGTAGAATCCTGAAAAGCAAGGAAGTGTGGTCAAAAACTACCTTTGGACACCGCCATGTGCTCTCTTTTTGGCGTTGGTGTGTTTTGGGCGCTTGTTACTGCAGCTGCTACCTTCCGCTTGTTCTCACAGATTTCGTTAGCAAAAGCTGCGCGTGCTGCGCCACACCTTACTGTGTTGATTCCGCATTACAGAAGTTCCGCACGAAGACTTTCTGCAGCATACAGCTACATGCACATGGGAGAACTTGGGCAAAGTTGGAACACCTCAAATGAGGCCAACTCATGCAATTGCGCGCGCAGGGAAGGCCCAGAGTAGCAAAAGACTTCTACACGTGATGCCGCCCGAACTTGTTCTTGTTTGCTGATGAGAGCGCGTGGCCGACAGCTTGAAATCCCAACATGTGCGCCCAAAGTGCGGTGCTTGCTAGAAAACGGCCTTTAAAAGGACGTGCTGTCTTGTGAGAGGTGCAGCACACCGGGGTGGTTGCAATTAGTAACAACACTTGCTTCATCCTCGTAGGCAAATTGGTTTCTCATTTGTATGGTTTCTCAAAGGACTACCTCAGCTATGAAGGTTTCAGGGGCCTCCAGCAAAAGAGTTCAACTTTAAATTCCGGAAATTGGAAAAATGTATGGGGCCCTGAAGTAGTCTCGCTCGCACAGTGGTGTAAACCACGCGCTGACCTCCCAACTTCGGATTGTCTTGTGATGGCTTTGATGTCAAGGCAATTGCACAGAGGCTGAGGGCTGCATTTCATGAGCAAGCCTTTGACTGCGTGATGGTTCAGAGTCTGAGGGCTTTGCGTGTAGCTTTAGGTGCGAGGGTTCGCAGTGGCATGGTCTGCTTCGCGAGCGTTTGTGTATAAGGTTGGAATTGTCTCGCAGTTGCATGAATTCCTAATGTAGGGTATGTAGAGCGAGTGGAACTTCAAGCCAAGATGCCCATGGGTACAGTTTACGAGCCACCCACTTAAAAGGGAGGCACGGAATGGACAATTCCAACCGGCATCTCCCCAGCTACTGTGCACATTCACAGGCTTCAGCGTAGAAGCATCCTCGGTCCAAAGGCAGCCACACAATATAGATTGTGCGTGATAGTGCAGCCTTAGGGAAATGGAACTGTACCCGCCGCTCCGGCACTCTAGTTGCTGAGATTGGGAAGACAAAGTATGAGGCTTTCATGTCCGCCTTGCGCCTAGTTTCTCTTGTATGCATTGTGGATACATGTACGCGCACATCTCAGTTCGATACCATATAAGATTAGATGCTTGTATACCTATGTATACGCAGACATGATCCGGAGGCAAAACCTTGAGACGACCACACAGTCGCTGGGGCAAGATAACTCAAGGGCCGGCGAAGCATCATCTTCCCACAGGCCCCCCGAAGAGTCAGTGATTCGCGGTTTGAGATTTAGGGTTGCAAGTGGAAGCTTCCAAAGGTAGGAACTTCTTTGAAAGGTGTTCCAATGAAAGTCTTCGGAGTGACGCAGGAGTACATGTGGTGTCGTCGGTGCATGCGCTTTTGTGATGATCTATCTGCGACTTCACTCCGTGCAGGGCCCGCAAGTGCAAGAAATCAATATATAATATAGTAGTTTCCGTTTTCTTTTCCATTATCCCCAATATAACCCCAACATAACCTCAGTATAACCCCAATATAACCCCAATATAAATTAGTATGGCTTTGGGCTCTCTCAAGACGGTGAGTCAATCTTGGGGTGCTCGGGCCTTGCAGATGGCCAGGGGGTATACAGGCGGCCCCAAGTTGGGAGACTAGACTTTAGGGGTTATATTGGGGCTATATTGGGAAAATGTAGGGATAACATGGGATAACGGAAAAGAAAACGGAAACCATGGTATCAGAGATCTCCCTGAACTCTGAAGCGCAGTCGAAGTCAAGCTTGGATTTAAGCCTCGGGCTGTGGAAGGAACATGCGTACTGTAAGCCCCATTCTCCAGAACGGTTGCATACGATCCTAGCGTTACTTGATGATCTATGTAACCTGTAACCAACACTGGCCGAATGACCACGATAAGCATGGGGAGGTACCGAGCCCATGTGCTCAGAGCCGCCAAAGGGCGTTGAAGTTGTTGCAAACTTATTTCTGGCATTGACAAGCTCCACCATGCACAGCAAGACTG